GAACATTAACATAGAGTGTTCATAATGAATTCTAAACCACTGCAGTCCTGCTGTCATGGGGCAGATAACATCTTTTACGTCTGCTGTAGTAAAATACTGAGGACTCACTTGTTCAAAGAACCTCATATCATTTATATCCCACCCATCCTCCAAAAGCATTCAGGGTGGCCTACATGGATTATGGAGGATTATGGGTTATCTGCTGGAAACCGCAAGGAATGTGCCTGGGGAACTCTACACTATCACTGGATGACCTTAAAATATAATTTAAAAATTTAGACAAGTTCTTAGTAAATAAGCAGATTAATTCTATCCTATTGACAGCCTCAGTTCAGAAGGTGGTCTACATGTGTGTACAGCTCAGGAACATCTGATGCTTTGAACCAATGTATGTGAACAGAACATGAAGACCAGGGCTGTAGGGGCTGCACTTGTTAGTCTAAGGTATTTACTGTCTCTGTAGATAAGCGTTCTTACTGTTCTAAACTGAAAAGATCCCAAATATTATCACTCCCTAGACGTAAAGGCACAACCATTTAAAAAAATGAGTGAATGGTGTATCAGCTTGAATTTGATGGAAAGCAATTTGTTGTTCCAGATGGGATACGGAGGCTGGAATGAAGCTGTAGTAAATAAATACTCAGTTATCAAATTCTGAATGCCTGCCACAGTGCATGCATTAGCATAAATCCTCAGAAATGGGATCATTATACTTCAAATTGTGAAGCATCCTCCCAATACTAACCCAGAACTCTTTTTATTTTCCTTTATGAAAATGGTAACCCCAAGTACATCTTTGAAACTTGATATGCTTTCTGCACAGATCTCGTTGCTGGCTATTACTGGAGCCCCACAGCAATGCTGCCTTGTCCATGCCTCCTCACACTCGTCTCAGTAAAACCCCAGGACCTTTCCAATGACTGGGGTGGTGGTGGTAATGATCTCTACTGTTACTAGCGGCAGGGTTTGGATAAAAAAGGTGTCCACAGCTCCACCTTGTCCTTTTCAGGACCCAGGACAGCAGTCTGAGTTGGCTTTGGTGAAGACAAGGCACTAGAGCAGAAAGTTCACCTTTTCCTTGCTTCCCGGAGGTAGAACTGCTGAGGGGTCTGCATGTGCTCAGTAGCAGCAACTTATTCCAGGTAAAAAGCAAAGATGTTTATTTGGGTATAAAAAGGAATGGAGGACAGGTGTGTGTATGTTGGAATAAGTAGCGATCTAATTAGGAAGTCAAAAAGTACTCAAAACCCAAAAAGGCAAAAACGAAAGCTTAAAGTTACTTGGACACATTCCCTAGCTATGTAAAATACCTTGCTGCTAGTCAATGAACACTAGGATCCAGCTCCTCCTTGCACTGCCAGTATGGTTAGCAACAGGAAAAGAACAATTGTTTCAAGTCTCTCTTTACAGATCCAAGAACTGGCATCCACTCACCCATTGGCATAACTCTCAAACTAGTGGGAGGTCTTCCCTTCACCTGGTTAGGTAAGGATTTGGGGACCAGTCTAAAGGTGTGGTAGAAACCATTCACAGGTCATTCTGGTAGCTCACCAGTTATTTGTACAAGCAGACCCATCAGACTTCAGGACATCTGTAACCCTCTTCCCTGGCTGTCATATGTGCATCCCCACGGAATGCTCTTGCCAGATGGCAGCAACACTCTGGGCCAGTTTCATTTTAGATACGGAGGAAATGGGGGATTTAGGGAGGGGTGACAGGTTAGTCATCTCAGATATTTTGCTTCTGTCTTACAGCACAGGTGGTCTCTCCCTTGATATAACTGCTATCGTTTAATATGGAGAAAAAGGGTACCTCAGTATTCAGGAATTAAGGACTATTTTGGGAACTTCAGATTCATTCACCTTGTGAGATGCATCAAGAATTTTAGCTAGGGGCTGCAAGGCGATCATTCTGCAGCAAATGGTGAATAAGCAACGAACTCACACCCATTTTAACAAGTGGTCAAATTTGGTAATCAAGTTTAGTGGACAATGGTTGAAGTCATGCTAAGCTATCAAAATAAACACAAAGCAGACGCTACTTGTGAAGCACCATTCTGCTATACCTGTTTCAGCTGCAAGGCAGTCTGCTTCTTCCCTGCACGCCTGCTCCACTTGAATAGGAAATTCAGCATAGAATATGACCTTCCACGTGACATCTATAGTGGTGGCTGCTTTCTTGATATTGAGAGTTTCACAGCACTGCACAGGACATTACAGCAACTATGTGCTGTAAGCCATTACATTAACAGTCATCCAGTTGGCAGGATCCATACAACAGCATTACAGCAAAGAGAAGCCTTTGCCATAGACTCCAACACTCAAATAAAGAGGTCCTAGATGTAAAGTTGTTTGCCTAGATGCACTTGTTTGCCTATCATGCAGATTATGAAGTCAGATGCTAATGATGGGAAATGACCTTATTTAGAACAGTAACCAGAATTCAGCACTCACTTACACATCTGCAGAAGCACATGTGGACTATTCCTCTCTGCATATGCCAGAACTTCAGATAGATGAGTAAACTACTCTCATCATTCTAATATAAATGCAAGGCTGCAATATCAGTGATCAATACACAAGGGTTCTGTTGTTTTTACCTGGAGGCAGCTCACTGTCAGGCCCAGAAGAGAACAACAGGAAGGATAAGAATCCTTCATGTTCAGTCTCTTTCCAATTACTCAGGCAAACTGAAGGCAGCCACTTAACACTAATCCCAAGGAATTGAAGGAAAGGGTGATAGTGTTATGCATATTCATGGTGGACTTAGCTAATGATAGCTGTATAGCAAGAGAACCTGAGCTACATATCCCCCCCCTCACCTTTAGAAGACTCCCAGTCAATGTATATCACAAAAAACAACAACAAGAAGTTGACTGTGTGTAATTTTATTGACTGGAGGCATATTACAGTAGACCAACATATTAGACATGCTATACAAAATATACATTCTGATAACTGAGAAAATATAAAAACATATAAGGTAAAGACAGCTGCAAGCAAGGAACCATTGATTTGCACTGCCCTAGAAATGTCCAACTACGATTGCTTTGGCATTGTCAAAAAGAGGAACATCTGTGAAATAACTTTCCTTCCTACAAGCTAAGACACAGATCCCTTGGAGAAGAGAGAGTGATGAAGTATATTTCAAAATAAGTGTTCTTGCTCCAATTACAAAGAAAAGTCCTTACAGAACCTTTCGTTTGGGAGGAAGCACTCACCTACTAAACCAAGGTGGCTTTCCAATTAACATCTGAATGCTACATTTCATAGTCCTGAAATTCTTTCCTCTGCAACTCACATGCTCATGATCATGAATGTAACCTCAATCCCACAAACCATCTAAAGAGCCAGCCATATTGACAAATTCATTTCCTTCTCTAAACCTGTGAATTATTTCACAGGATGACCCTCCCAGCTTTACCTGTGAGCCAAAACACCACAACAGGGATTTGGGCTGGCAAATTACTCTTTCCATCTCTGTATTATTCCAGTTTCTAGAGTGAGCATTCCACCACACTTCATGCAATGGGCGCTCTCTGCATCCTGACATAGTTCACTCTAGAACTGCACACAGATTCAGGATAAAACTCTCCCTTTGCATAACAGATTTTACCTGGGTAGCTCTTTGAGGTTTTTTTCTCCACCAAGAACTCATTTACAAGAACAGCTTTATGTTAGGTAGTAGAGAAATGTTTTCACTGTCCTAGAGGCATGCACTGCTGAACATGCAGAATCAGCAACATGAGATTAGCACTGCAGAGCTGCCCTCCCTTGCTGTATGAATTCTAACCACAGAATGGCATTCTTTTCACTTCGATTACAAAATACTGATTCATACCACATTGCTTTCATTCCAAAGATGTTAGGCAGGTCAGTTTTAGTTACTGCCTAACTTCCATCCTCAAAGCACTTAGTATTTCACAACAGACACCTTAAATAGCACACTTCTCCTGCAGCTCCATCACCTTAAGTCAGACATCTGGGGCTGAAATGCCTGTGCTATCTGGATGACAGGTTGGTTCTTCCCTCTCCTCCCCAATACTGCATATTCAGTATTTTTTACATCAGATACAGGCTGTCACATAAAATACAGCAGCAAGCAGCTGGGAGGGAAGGCAGTGAGCAGCAAGAATACATTCAGTGCTTTGAAGCTAGCACCTGACAGAGATGAAGGACGAAACCTAACCCCTCCCTACTCCCTGAAAAGAAGAACTTAGGCTTCTTGTGGACAACAAGGTGGTTTTGCTTTGGAAGTTTCAGATACTCCTGAAGGCCTCTGCTTGAAATGGGGAAGAAACCTGTAAGACTTTCGGCTCCAATATCTAACAGGACTAAGCAGCATGCATGTTGGCGTTTTCCACTGCTCCCCCTTCCCCAAGGCAATGGGAAACCACAAAGAGAGTTTTCATCTGTATAGCTTTGGTACCAGCCTGGCTGCTCAGAGTAACTGGGACGAGTCCGCTGGGAAATTGAGCATTCATAGGTAAACACACACACACACACACACTATTGTTTCCAGCCAGACCTTTCAGCTTCATGTAACAAGACACATACAGCCATAAGAGAACACCCAGCTCTAAAAGGAAACTTGCCACTACAATTAGTCAAGCCTGACTGAGTCAACTGTATGCAAATTCCTCCAAATGACTCTGGGATCACAAGTTTCCTGGCAGGTCCTTCTGTGTCCAAATCATCTTAGTGTAAAATGATATGATTCAGATAATGTTCATACTGGACCGTGTGGAAAAACATCTGCGCTACAAAGAACTCAGGCTGTGGCTAGTTTGCATATACACACATAGATAAGACAGTTTACACACATTTTTCTGGATGATATGGTAAAGGTTCCCTTGCTTGAAAGCCAGTCGAATCCGACTCTAGGGTTGCAGAGCAGTGTTTCAAAGCTGAAGAGCCAGCACTGTCCGAAGACATTTCCGTGGTCATGTGGCCAGCATGACTAAACACCAAGGCGCACGGAACGCTGTTACCTTCCCACCGAAGTGGTACGTATTTATCTACTTGCAATTTCTTGCTTTCAAACTGCTAGGTTGGCAGGAGTTTCTGGATGATAGCAAATGGCTAATATAATTGCCTGTGATGTCATATTTACAGCTTCTGGGATGTCTTCATGCTGCTGTCCAGAACACTGAATTGTCACATCAGCAACATCTTGCCTCTCCTCTTTAACCTGAGATTAGTCTTCCTTCATCTGCTGCAATTTCCCTGCATACTCACTTTGGTTAGGATTTTGTGCCATGGCTGACATTTCTCTTTGGGACACAACAGCATTTTATGAAGTGTGACAAATTCCATTCTGCTGCTGCTGTGCCACCTGGGAGGATCAAGAGATCCTCTGTGGTTAATCTCAGATGTTCAGCCTATCAATCCTTAGGACCATTTCAGGCATACTTACTTGTCCCTTGATTTCTCAGAGCTGCATGTGCAAAACAGACTATATTCAAAAGCGCTGTGTTTGAGGCAACTGCAACTGTCAACCTGTGATGGCTCATACTCACCACACATGTAGATCTTCATTTCAACAAGTAAAGAACATGCCTGTGCGGATCAGCATTAGTCACAATACAAACTGCAGGCTTGAGCCTCAAAGACAGTGCTGTCACCCTGCAACTGGGACATTTAGAAAATGACTTCCTCAGATTGCCAGTGAGCCCTACAGGTAACCTCCTAAGCCACATGTGGCCCCCCAGGTGCCATACACTTAACCATGCTTAGACCCGAAGGGCTGAGGAGTCCTATGCAACCTCCTTTTCCCATTTACAGTTTCTGTCCGTACTCATGAGACTAACCATGTGCAGAGACCCACAAAGAGTACTGAATAGGATATTGTGATAATGGTAATCACCGTATGAAAAACATGATGGTATGGACTGGCCTTCAATCCTGGGAAGCTGAATTCATTCCAGACTCTTGCAGAGTGGCTGGCAGATGCCAGAATGATTGGATATTGTGTAATTTTTGGCATTTTTTTACATTTCAGCCTGACATTTGTGTATGTGGTGTATACAAAATATTTATATTACGCAAACATATTTACATATTATGCAAATGTATTTACAGCTGACGTCCTTTAGCCAGAGAAAGGGTAAATAAAATTTTTGACTATACAAACTGAGGCAAGTTCCTGTTAGTGGTCAGAAGGACCAGAAGGTTCATGCTTATAATTACTCAGGGACGTTGCAAGGGGGCTCTTTAAAATTGGTTTCTTCAGCAGGAAAGAGAACATGAAGCTTTCATGGGACTGTTCCCATGCAACAAAGGTACCTTGCATTAGCAGTTCCTCTGCTAAGAGTAGTATTTGTTCTGTTTCTGTCCAACATTCAGTTTGCCATGACAGCTGAGCCTGATAGAAGAAAGGACTTCTGCTATTACACTCTTTGCTCAGGGCACTAGTCATGGTGCTGGACCGCTCAGACTCTGTTGCAAGCATGGAGCATCTTTGGCCATGAGGCAAATCCTGAGGTAGTGAAGACATTGTCAACTGCTTCGAACTTGCTGCTAAGGCTTCCTGCTTGGATGCCATTTATGTTGTTTCATGATATTCCTGTATGTTCCGAGTTCTGTTAAAATCAAAGTTATGTTCATGTAGCCTGTGGTGAGGTTGGGGGGAAATAACCCGCTCGTGGTCATTCTCTGTGATGCCCTCATTTTGCAGAACTTGAGGCACGTCGTGGGTCTTGGGCTGAGGTGAGTAATGAGGATGTGCCATTCCAACATCTTTATCGATGCCCCATAAAGGCAGCTGAAAAGGATCTGGAAAGAAATTAAGGGAGGTCTGAAGTTACGACAACAGGAATCATACCACGATTCTCCATGCTTTGCAAGATTTTTGGCAGCAGCGTGCATTCTTGCAAAGAGCCTCTGCTGAAGGTATACCTAGTAAAGCAAACTACTACCACATCCAGCATACATGTGAGAACAGTCACTCTATAGATATTACAACAGAGTTCCCCAAAGCTTTTGAGCCTGTGGGCTACTTTGGAATCCTGACACAGTGTGGTGGGCGCAGCCACAAAATGGCTGCCTCAGCTTACCTTCAAGCACCTAGTGAAGGATCCTTATGTTGTGGTACCAGCTACTGCCAAAGCAACATTTTTTAAAATCTGCAATCATGTCTCCAATGGCCCATCGGAAGTCATGCTGGGCAAAAGCATCACCCAGCCCTGCCCACGTTTGAAGAACTCTTGATGGGCACTATGGCACCACGGGGACCACTACATTACAAAAAGCTCCCTGCAGAAAAAAATATTCTGCTCCAGTTTATAGTAGATTTCCAAGTACAACGAAATAGCATGAAGAGCACTCAGTAAGAAGCAAGTGTTATCCAGCTGTTGCTTTTTCCTGCTGGAAAAGGCATGTCTGCTGAAGGAGAAGGGAAAAGGATTTTCATTAAGTCCTTCTGAACCCTATAGCAGTATTTCAGCAGGTGCGGAGGGAAGGGGAAAGCAGGGAAGTCCAGGTTTGCAAGCACAGCTCTGCACACAATTTGGATATGACTCATTGTCTGAGTCTATACAGCTAAATGAAACTGACAGATTTCTGTGAAGATCAAAGGTAACTTTCTCCCAGCTTCTCTCTTTGGCTTTTATGCCGTGATTGGCAAACGAGATATGGATGCTTAGACCCTGAAATCCAGTTTCCGTGGGGACTCGGAACAAAATAAAATGGGCTGTTCTTAATTAGGAAGTTATCAGACCTGCTCAGTGGGCCTTGTGCTAGACGACCCCTCAGAGACTGGACTGCAGTTATCTGTGACATACCATATCCAGAAAAAAACCGAAGCCATTTCAGCATTAAGACATAAGAGCAGTAGAATAGCACAGCACTTACCAGTGTTACAGGGCTGGGAGCAGGGTTTCCTCTCATGCATTCTGTCATGATTGGTAAGAAAGACTGACATGTCTCTGTCGGCTGAGATACTGTCCATAGCAGGGGTGTCATGCTGCGTGCACATTGAGTAAGGCTCTTTGGACATCTGCACCATTAGGCTGGATAGTGTTTGATCAAGTGGGTCTTCATCAGTGATGTATGCATACGGACAATACTCTCTGGTTCTGGAGTAGATGTTGGCATTGTCATAGCAATCTGAACAGATCACCAATGGCCCTGTGCCTCCTATTGAAAGAACAACAGTGGTTACATTAGGATGCTATGATGCAACACACCCGTCACTACAGAAGCCCCTGCCAGTTGCAGGAGTGCAAATATCAGCATTAATATCAGTGGGCTGGAACTGTGCACTTGGAAAACAACTCTGCAGGCACGAAAGAGGACCAGCAACAACGTCCAGAGGAAAAGTTAAGAAATTAGGTAAGTTGGCATTTGTCTGAGCAGCAATGCGAGAGCAGGCCAGGCAGATAAGGACCCTTCTCCCTTAATACTTAACCTCACAACACAGGGCTTGGCTTTTAAAAATGAAAAAAATACAAAGAACAGAAAGCTAAGAAAACAGCCAAAGCATGGAGGGCAGGGGAAATTCAGTATTTTACGAGTGTCACATGTGTAACAGCTTGCCAACTGTGGTTATATCTTCACGCTCTAAGCTTTCTTGAAACTGAAGACACAGAGATGGAGAAGCTTTAGGGATGTGGCAGAAAAGTCTCATCTCTCTACTTACAGGTACTCGGAAGTTACAGGGAAGGACAGTCTCAGGGCAGAAGGGCAACATATCAAAGTGAAAAATTACCCCTTATGACCTCCAAGTGTTCCATGTCCTAGGTCACCTAGACAGGCAGAACTCTGTGATTTAAAGTGTGGATGAGATGGGTGGCACGGGGAGGAGAGGTTTTACATTTGATAAGGATGAGGGACTCGCTAGGTTCTGAGACAAGCTGGGCTTGTCCAAAAGAAATGTGCCAACCTGAATGGCATGGGAACCAAGCTGCTCTCGTATCTCTTTGCTAGAAGTGAGCTAGCATCACAGCAAGTTTCTCACCCCTAAAGACTATTCTTTTGGACTGAATGTACTACACCATCAAAAAGCTGTTTTGGGGCATCTATGAAGCATTTGCTTCTGTTTTCGTTTTTTCCCCTTGGCTGTTAGTGCTGCTCCTTCCCCCTCAGAGAATATGCAGCAGAGCAACTATTTATATCAAAAAGGTAACAGAGCAGCTCTTAAAGGGACTTCTTGGGGACAGCTGACAGGAGCTGGGGAGCATCTGGTTCAGCACGATTCAGGGATGACAGTCTAAATGTTTCCAATTCTCAAAAGTAGGGATGGATAGAACTTGGTAAAGAAACATACAAAAATCAAATGAGTTATTTAAAGAGAGACCAAATAGCCATGGGGAAAACTACATGAAAAGGTCATCTAGCGAAAGATGTAATGTGTAGGTGTTTATTCGCTAATGCCAAGAGCCTCTGAGCTAAAATTGCTGAGGTAACCAGGTCAACTTTTCCCTGTTTTAACATTCTGCATGGGCGGTTTAACTGCCTGCCAGCTCAGTGCGGCAAGAGTGAATGCATCATTCAGCCCTCCTGCCTTGGTAACTGGTCAAAACCTTTCTCTTTCTTCTACCTTTCCAAGTGAAGCTTCATTTCCCTCACTCTGAATGGTGGAAGGAAGAGGAAATGCTTCGCCTTTGCCTGAACAATCACACTGCCAGAGCAATACATCAAAGAGTGTGGTTGGAAGGTACTTTCTCTTCCTGAACAGATGATTTCATACCCTTGAGTACCTCTGGGGGGAAAAAGTGAGGCACCTTTTCAGGGGACATAAAAATGTTCAAGAAACATCTTGGATTTAACACTAGTACAAAGATAAAAGCAGCACAATTAATGAACGAGACAGGGGAGCTTTCAAAAGGCAAGAAGACTTCCTTTAAAAGTGGGTATCTTGCCCCAAAACAGGAGCATAAACTTTAATAAGACGAATGTACATTGGTAAGGTAAGAATATAAGGAGCATATTGGTAAACCCCCCCCCCCCATATTTCTTTACTGCATCTCAAGCAGGAAACCAGTCTGGGAGGTGACTGGATCATGTGTGCCCCACTGGATTTTATTCTCTAAGGTTCCCTTTGTTGTTCAACATAGTAGTTAGGCAGCTGGGAGAAGCTATCCAGGGATTCAAGGTATCATCAATGTGCTGACGACATCCAGTTTTATTTGTCCTTTCTGGCAGATCTGAGAGTTTCAACAGATTCTATTATGTGTCTGAAATCAGTGACAGACTGGAAAAGGAATAAAACTGATGCTCAGTCCACATAAAACGGAGGTTAACCAAATTAATAAAGAAGTCTGTGCTTTTCCTGCTCTAGATTAGGTCAAACACCCTCTCCTTCAGGCTTAGGTATGCAGTTTGGGAAACTGTCCTGGATCTAGTGATGCCTCTGGATATTCAGACAGTGACTGTCAATGCCAGCTGCAGCAAGATTTTTTTGCTACTGTCATACATGCCTTTGTAACTAGACTACTGCAACTGTGCTCTATATGGGGTTGTTCTTGAAGTCAGTCAGAAATTTAATTTGGTCCCAAACATGGCAGCCTGATTATTAGCTGGTGTTACCTTCATAGGACATATTATGCTTAGAGGGGCATAAGCTCCTAGTTACTTCCAGTCCAAATTCAAGGGGTCCTACAAGACTCAGGACTAGAACACCTTAGAAAAGGCATCTTCTCATCATATGAACATGATAAGGAACATATACACTGGTTCCTAGCTCATCTGACAGCCAACTGCTGTCAGAAACGGTGTTGGTATCGAGAGGGAATGGTGCCTTTCAGTTGCAAAATTCCACCACCAGGTCCCGCATGGCTTACTCCCTTTTAGGAAGCAAGTGAAGACCTTTTGTTTCATTACATCTTTAGTTGTGTTTTGTATCTTACACTGATTTATTATTTTAAATGTGAGTGTGTGTGGCATTTATATAGTAGCCACCTGGAAGATCCAGAAAGGGATGGAAGAGGCTTAGACACATTCATGGAGGATGGTACATTCTGGTTCTGCTGGTAAATATCAACTGAAGGGAGAAACCAGGGGAGTTTAGATACATTCATGAGCTGTTTGTGGGCTTTCTGGGAGCACCTGCTGGTCACTGTGGGATATGGAATGTAGGATGAGATGGGCCTGATCCAGCAAGGATCTGTATCTAGCAGAAGGATCATCAAGGAAAGCAGGCACAAGCAGGGGAGTGCAAAAGGTGGCAGTGTCCAGGAAAACAGCCTCTCTCCCCTTACGAAGACAAGTAATATCAACAGCATGAACTGGGAATTAGACTACCCAATTCATGGAATGAAATTTTTAAAGGTTTTGATATGCAAGGCCTGTCTCCTTGTCTAATGTCTAAAGGTGAACCAAGAGATTGGCTCATTTTCTCTCACAATTTGTAATAACTCTAGTAGAAGGAAAGATGACACGACAAGGTTCTCCCTTCCCTTGAACAGGGGCCATCTGCTAGAACAACAGCAGAAAGAACTATTCTGGACTATTAGATTCAGGTGGGTAGCTGTGTTGGTCTGAAGCAACAGAACAGAAAAATTTGAGTCCAGTGGCACTTTTAAGAGCAACATAGTTTAATTCTGTGTATAAGCTTTCGTTTACGTGCACACTTTCCCAGATACGTTCTGGACTGTATTAGTGGTTAAGAAATGCACAGTGCATGCTACATAGGTAGGTTTTATCTTCTCAAAAGGCCAAAGAAAACCTGACTACGGTTGATCCACGATATTGCTGTCATAGTCCACTACTTATTAAGCAGCATGGTCGGAGAGAATCTCTAGCAATTGTACTTGAGTGCTGCTGGAATTAAGATGAGTTGCCTAGATGGGCTGACTTCAGTCTTGCATGTTAGGGTTTTTTTTTGTTTTTTTAAAAAAACAACCCTATAATCTCCATGATTTAGAAAGCAAAAGTGCATACCTGGAGGGGGGGGGGTTTCCACTCAATCTCACTCAATTCCTCTCTTCATTGCAGCCCCTCTCTTGCATGGTTTTTATCCATGCAAGTCCCATGGTCTTTTTTGGGTGGTCAAAGGGGGACCCTTCCTCCTTTCATTTACAGACAAGATCTTTTAAAAGTAGATATAACTAACCTGTGTTCAGAGATTCTAAACATATTCTTGCTTAACAAGTGTCTTACTGGAACAAAGTAAGGTCCATCTATTTCAGAATTCTTTAGAAGATTCCCAGCAACCAGCAAGCATCGAGTGAATCACCAGAAACTGGCCAATGGAGAGACAGTAGAAAACACTCTGGCTATTGCCCCTCTAGCGAAGGGACCCAAGACTTACCCTCTGTGCCTTTGTGTGCATAACCACTCGCATGAGGCATCAGCTGCTGATTGCTTCCTGCCTCAGAATTACTGTAGCCTTCCTGTGGCTCGGACAGAGTCCCCTGGGAGGATAAGTAACTAGGAATATCAGCAGGCAAATTTACCTCCTCTGGAAGAGAAATAAACAACAACCAAACAATAGCAGTATACCATAAACATCACTATGGCAACAAAGCTATTGAGCAAATAGATGTCCATCAAGATGATGATAACAGGGTATATCGCCAAGGGAAGTAATCTTGCAGAACACAAGAAGAGAGAGTTACCCAGTTAGGATAGAAAAACAATTTTTTGCAGTATTCTCTAATGCTGATCTACTGTCATCCTTTACAGCATCAAAAATGACTACAATTTCTCACTCAATTCAACACCCCTTTTGTTCAGCTATAATAAAATATGCATTCTGCAGAATTGTCAACAGCAGCAATCCCCCCTCCCCCACCCACAGGAAAAAAACACTACAGAACACAGATAAAAGCTGTGAGAGACAAGCAGCCGGACCACATCTTACCTATGCTCATTCACTGATCTGCAGTGCTCCCCAGTCACTCCTTTCCTGCACTTTGCTCACTTGGGGGCTTACATGCTAAATGTTTTTACCTACCCCTGCATTTGTACAGAAGTTTTGGCATTTGCATGGCACATTGTAAAATGGAGAAGAGAATCAGATAACAAGAAACTCAAACCAAGCACCACAAAGAACATCTTGACAACAGACTCCCATATCTGTCCTGCTTTGTGCAGAAGAGGATTCTCTTCCCGCCTACCAAATACACCGATGCAAATTAAACAAAGAACAAATCTAAGTCTGAAGGCTTCCCACCTGTGTTGGTTATGCTGTAGTCTTCACTCTTCCTCCTCATATGGTAGATAACTATAACCCAGACCAGAGAGGTGCCCACAACACAGCAAACCACAACAATAATCACAATGCCAACTGTTGTCCAGCCATCATCTTCAATCCCAGTGCCATTCTGGGTAGAGTCACAGTTTGGTGGGGATATGACATGCAGGTAGATGTGACCACGTTCTGTACCGAGTGTATTGGATATGATACAGGTATATTTCCCAGCATCCTCTAAGCCAGCATCTACAATGATGAGCAGCTGGTTGGCAGCAGCAAAGAAATGCCGCTCCGTTACAGTTAGAGGCCCGTCATCTTTGGTCCAGTTTACGCGAGGGGCCGGACTGCCACCAGCAATGCACTGCAACACGGCTGTTTCTCCTCGGGCCACAGTCCTGTCCTCCAGGGGCCTGACAAACGAAGGTGTTTCTGACAGAAAGAGGGGACAACTTTAAAACTGTTTATCCAACAGGCACACAGTGAAGGAACATGACTACTACACACATGCCAACTGTGGTTTTTGAGGACTGACTTAACAGGACATAGATCACGGACAAAAGTGAGGTGCCTGTCTTTTATCCTGTACACCAGGGTCCCAAACATTTTTTGTGCCCGTGGGAACCTGTGGAATTCTGACATGTGGTGGTGGGCACAACTACCAAACAGCAGGCACAGGAGGTGGACCCCCCCACACACACACAAAGGAAGTACACATACCGGGGAGAAGAGGGGTAGTTTAAAAAATACAACTGAAGGGGGGGGGGAAGAGAAAATAAAACTAACACAGCAGTGGCAACTGCACCTGAAACAATATTATTTTAATTCGCACAATCATATATCTAGCGGCCAATCAGAAGCCCTTCTGGGCAAGAGCCTCACATGGCCACACCCCCTTTCTAAAAACACTTGGTGGGCACCAGGAAAGTGGTCGGTGGGCACCATGGCACCCATGGGAACCACAATGGGCACCCCTACAGTATATTGTATGTAACTGGGTGGGGATGTTCAATTCAATTGAACTGGACAAAGCTGAGATGAAGGAACCAAAGCCAGCAGGTACTGGATAAAGGTAGGAGAAAAACAGCTGTACTCAGGAGAGTTCTTTGATTCCTTCAGGCAATGTTTTTCAGGGGGCATTTTGCCAATTCTACAATTTCATTTTTTACTGGCCCCTCGCATTGCCTACAAAAAGTGCTCTAAAGCCCTCCATTGTTCCCCATGTCATTTTTCTGGTCAAAGCCATTATATAAAGCTCCACGTGCATCACTGCCTGATGGGCGATGCAAACAGCAACTTTGTTCTTTCCGCAATAAGCACAATAGTGACAGCAAATAAAACCAGACATTTTTCAAATTATCCAAGACAAAGTGGGTCAGCGGCAGATAATGTTCTAGAAGTATTTGCCATAGGAATATCATAAATTTTTTTTGGGGGGGAAGTATTAGACTAGCTTCTTCCTAGACTGAAGCTTTAAGTTAAAAAGAAAGAAAGCTTGTGATTTGGTCTTTTTTTTTTAATGACACAGTTCATATTTATTGGCATACTTATTAAGGAACATACCCAGAGTGGAACCCTGGATACTCACCGTGAGGGAGCCTTCTGCTCTGAGGTTAGGAGGGCATCTCGGAATGGCTGATTCCCACCAACTGCTCAGGGAGGCAGGACTGAACTCTTCAGCTTCCTGTCTCCCAGGTGGGAGTTGCCTTGGCTCAGTTTGGTTACTTCACAAGCTTATGATCCCAGGAACAGAAAGGAACAGACCAGAGATAGAACAGCAACCAGAAGAGGTGAGTCAGTGTTAGAAGCATAACGGATGATAGCCAGAGAAGACATATGAGCAGGGTTAAAGAAGGATTAGAGCCAGCAGGCAACTTCCTCTGCAACTTGATCACATGGGATTAGTCAAATTTAGGATCCTGGTTTTGTAGACATTCTTTCTGGGTTGTTTTTTGGGGGGTGGAACAGGACAAGATGCCCTCCTAACCTCAGAGCAGAAGGAACCCTCACAGTATCCAAAGTTCCATTTTCATTCTGAGGAGGAGGGCATCTTGGAATGGGACTTCCAGCAGCAAGTGTCCCAGCAACAGGTGGGAATTGATCTTCCACCATATCCTGCAGCACTCTATGCACAAAGGTGGTGTCGGCTGAGGAGAAGGAATTAAGTTTCTAGTGTCTGATGAAGGCTGAAACTGAAGACTGTGTTGCCACCTTGCATATTTCATCCACTGAGGCTTGATGATAAAAGGCTATGGGAGTGGCTGCACTTCTTACTGAGTGGACCATGATCTCTGCTGGAACCAGAATGTTGCTTGCCTGGTAGGCATGGGAGATGCACTGTCGAATGGTGTAGCTGATGGCTTATCTCAACATCATCTCCTCTTATTTGGGGGAGATGAAAAGAGAGTTCATCTTTTCAATGAATTCTGTACATTTGGGGTAGATTCTGATGGTCCTCTGGAGGTGTGAGAAGAACCACTCTCTCTCCTTGGGGTGGCCAGGATGTGGACAGAAGAAACGGAGGTGAATCTCCTGACTCCTGTAAAAAGTTGAGTTCACCTGGGCAATAAAAGTGGGATCCAGCCTGAGCATCACCTTGTCCTTGTGGAAGACACAAAGGCCTTTTCTGGCTGACAGGTCTTCCATTTTTGACACCTTTCTAGCCAAAATCACTGCTGTGAGAAAGAGGGTTTTTTGTCCACAGGCATTTTAGAGGGAGCTCTTCTTAAGAATTCCAAAGAAGGATTAGTGAGAGCTGAAAGAACTACATACAGTCTCCATGAAGGCAATCTGTGGAAGGGTTGATCTGCACAACCTGTTGGAGACAGCAGAAGATATGAGGATGTCTAGTTAAGGGATGCCCGCTACACAGAGTAGGACTGTGGCGATAGCTGCTACCTGGCAACAAAGGGTGAATGTTTGTAGTTTTTGATAAACACCCTCTGGAGGTGGGCCAACCGATGGCCCAGGCCAGGGTCAAGGGGTTTGATGTGTTTGTACTGGCATCACCTTGAGAAGATTCTTTCCCATGTAGTCTTGTAGATGCATCTTGTGGAGACCCTTCTAGAAACTATGATGGTCTTTCAGATCTCTAAGGAGTAGCCAAGGTTCTGGAGTCCATTCCTTTCAAGACCCACATGGTCAGACGGAGCCAGATACGGCTGCCGAACTGGCCCCTGCTGCAATATGTCTGGGCTCACGAAAATTTCCCAGGAGGCCTGAACTGAGAGTTCCAACAAGGGGCCAATCTGGAGCCACAAAGATCCCCTCCATCTCCTCCGGACATTTCTTCCATAGAGCTTGGGATCACTGGGAGAGGCGGAAGGGCACACAGATAGGCCCTTGGGCCACAGAGAGATTAAAGCATTCACTCATTCTGGCTGAGGGAGATGGGATCTGGAGAAAAATCTTGGTACTTGATGACTGGATGCAAACTGATCCACTTCCAGCATTCCAAACTGAGCTGCAATTAATAGGACGATCTCCAATTTGATGGACCATTTGTTTTCCTCGATGATCTGTCTGCTCAGAAGGTCTGCCTGAATGTTCAGGAGTCTCTGGATGTGTTCCGCTAAGTGCTTTCCTGATGGATCCGAGTTCCAAGGCATTGATGTCCATCATCTTTTCCTTTAACATCCATATGTCTTGGGCTGGACGGCCAGGTAGTGACACTGCCTAACTGGAAAGACTCATGGTCTGAAAAGTTGCAGGATGTGGTCCAAGACATAAGATCAGACCCATCTCAGTTACAGGGGTCAGCACACCAGACCATGTCCTGTCTCAGAGACCATTTTAGGTGTGGGGTTACATTGCTCCTCTGCAGGATCTCTATTTGATAGAGCCGGAGGAACCACTGAAGTACTCTGGCAGGTAATCACACCCATGGAACTGTCCCCATGCAGGAGGTTATGAGGCCCTGGAGGTGTGCCAGGGACATCACCTGGGTAGTCTTGGCTTTGACCAGATCTTTTGGCCAAGCTCAAAATCCTGGAGGCCTTGTCTGCTCGGGAGGGGGAGAATACAGCATATTGTGGTGTGTGCCAATGATCATGCCAAGGTGTTGTAGCCCCTGTGACAGGGTAAGACTGCTCTTTTCTAGATGGATTTCTAGGAGCTGATGGTTCTGAGGTGTCCCTGGTCACTAGCTCCTGAGTGGGAGAACAGATCAGGATGTCGTCAAATAGGGAAGGATTTATGTTCCTTGTTGGTGGATCAGGGCCACTAGAGCTATGAGGACCTTGGATAAGACCCAAGGAGCCGATGTTAGGCCAAAGTGAAGAACTGTGAACTGGAGGCAAACTCTATAGCCCATACCTTTGGCATGTGTCTTCTTGGGGTGGGGATTTATCTATCTATAGATAAAGAGGCAGTCTGGGAAAACTGTGAAACTTTATGGCACAGCCAGACTGAACAGCTTGCAGAACCCAGTGGTCTGGTTGAGGTTGAAGCCACTGGGATAGAATTCCTGAAGCCAGTCACCCACAGGAATGTCTCTGGTGTCATGCTTTCCTTGCTTGGCCAGCTGATCAGGCTTGTTGAACCTGTAGGACTGAAGCCGAGATGATCAATTGGCATGGAGTCCTCTTAAAAGGGGCTTCAGGTGCCTGATCACTGGGCACTCCTCTGATCTGGTCTAATCCGGAATAATGTGTGATGGGAACTAAAGGAATGAGTGGGAAAGGATTTCCTATCATCCCTCCACAGACTCTTGGACATGGTCCTCTTATTATTCCTAGTTTCCAATAGGATCTTGTCAAGATAGCCCCAAACAGCTGTCCACCCTGGAGTAGGTAGATTATTATTGTGGGTACTCAATGGGGATCCACTTACCATGCATGAAGCCATGGAGTGCACCTGGCCATAGAGCAGCCACCATGGAGCAGGATGCAAAGGTCACTGTGTGGAGGGAAGTATCCACTAGGTGACTGCCTTGATAATATGACTGGAGTGCCCATTAGAGAAATCTGCAAGAATACTGCAGATAGCATAAGGAGCCAAGGAATAAACTTCCTGTTGGCCCACATTCCCTTTATTGGCCTTTTGAAAAAACTAGGAAAGGAAAAACAACCTCTCTGAGGAAGGAGCCCTGGAAAAAGTTCCTTGTTCCCCCTGGAGCCGGGATTTACTCTCTGAAGGTTCCTTTCCAGGGTCAGGAATTTCGGGGGGGGGGAGGAGGAGAAGATTGGATTTATACCCCACCCTTCACTACCCAAAGGCGTCTCAGAACGTCTTACAAATTCCTTCTTCTTCCCCTCCCCACAACGGACACCCTTTGAGGTAGGTGGGGCTGAGAGAGCCCTGACAGAAACTGCTCTTTTGCAAGAACAGCTGTGCCAGAACTATGGCTTGCCCAAGGTCATCCAGCAGCTGCAAGTGGAGGAGTGGGGAATCAAACCCGGTTCTCTAGATTAGAGTGCACGCCATTAACCACTACACCGAACTGGTGTAGCTTTGGGTAAGAGGGACTGGTAGTCATCTTCACTGAACAGGTGCGTGGGTTGGTCAGCAAGCATGGGCAGCTCCTCCGAGGAAAACTCTCCAACCTCCCTCTTTGGTTTTGACTGTGATGAGGGGCTGCCCATTCTAAGGGGCTACCCTGGACCCTGGCAGAGTGTGGAAGTGGAGGAAGAGGCTTTGCGGACTGCCTTGGAGGGCCACTGAGAGCGAGGGTCCCAATAAGATGAAGGGTGCCCCTCCCTATGCCTAAACCCTTGCTTGTGGGCAGACAAGGGTAACCTTCAGGTTGGAGTGCTTGGGACCCTGGGATGGTGTGGGAGAAGAGTTCTCCCGTGTGCCTTGCAGCTCCTTGCTCATGGCTCTCTTTAAAAGATTACATAACCTCAGCCGAGCAGTGATTGCACCCACCCACTACCTTGGAACGGAGTGAGGGTGGGAGAAAGATAGCACCTTACCCCCTGAAGATATACTCTGGTGGACAAGGAGTCCCTTTGAGTCAGCAGAGGATCCAATGGAGGAGCCTGGCATGCCATCGTAGGCCTCTGGGGGCCGAACTGGAAGCTGAGAGAGCCAGGGGGTATCCAACCGGAGAGCCAGGTGGGGCCATTGTAACCTCCAGGGGTCGAACTGGCAGCCGAGAGAGCTGCAGGGTGTCCAACAAGGGAGCTAGGTGTGCCATCATAGCTTCCAGGGGCCAAACTGGCAGCTGTGAGAGCCAATTGCACCTGAGGAGCCATTTTATAATGGTGCATTACTTAAGCCACTCTGGGCTAGATGCAGCAGGGGAACTCTCTTCACAAGAGACAGAAGGAGGAGAGGGCCTCCCTCATTTTCAGATGTAAATTGATCTCTTTTATGTCCCTCCAGAGCTTCTGAGGCTCACTGCTGGGCCATTCTCTTCCACGTTCTTCCAAGGAAGGAGGGGAAACAGAGAAAAAATTGCAAAGACAAAAGAAGCAGCAGAACCAAGAAGAGGTGTGATACAAAGTGTGAAGAGAAAGAGAGGCTGGAGAGGTTAGGAAACGCTCCCTCAGGTATGAAATTGCTCTAGGAGAAAAGCAAGTAAAAAAAGAGCAAAGAGCTGTGCTCCAAAGCTGTACTCCCTACTGAGGCAGGAAGCAAACTGAGCCAGGGCAACTCCTACCTGGGAGACAGGAAGTTGAAGAGCTTTGTCTGGCCTCCCTGAGCAATTGGTGGGAATCACCCATTCCACCCTCCTCCTCAGTTCATTGTTAAATTAATTCAACAAATTATCCAGGCTGTTCAACTACCCCCCCCCCCATTAATTTATTTATTCATTCACTTTTTTTGCAACCCACCTTTCTTGCTAAGACTCAACGCAGATCACACAATATAAACAATATAATTAGACAGCATAAGACATCCAATAAAGAATGCAGTAAGACTAGGATTGCAAGAGTGAGAAAAACAGTACTGGAAAGGTATCAGACATATAAAGTGAATTTGAGAACAGATCTCAGGCTTCCCCTCATTGTGTGCAGAAGAAAAGACCTAAACAGTGAGATCTTGTAGTTATCTGAATGTGGAATATCCTTAAACCTAGACATTGAAACAACTAAAGAAAAAATGGCATCTAGGGTCATCCCACATTCTGATTTGGTCTTACTTTCTACATAGGTGAACAAAGCTGGGGACAAGGTCCTAGGTCTTGAGGCCTGCTTCTGATTGCACTGCACTTAGAAGAGAGAAAGCAATCTGCAAGCAGGCCATACCAATGGTGAAAGAGCTATTCAAAGCATTTTGTGAAGCCTGTAATAGTCTGGTTACCTAGCACAGTCAAGGTCGCGTTTGCTGATAGACCTCCTGCCACATTTTGGGCCATGCAGCTATAGATCCCCATGTCTTCAATCTTCACATTTGCAATGAAGAAGACATCATCTTCCGGCATCACATGCATGCGCCTCTCACGAGCAGCAGGGAAGTCTGTGCCTCCATCTTTCTGCCAGGAAATCTGAGGTGGGGGGTGGCCTTCTGCAGCACACTCCAATTTAGCCATTGCTCGAGTTCGGATAGTTAGATCCATCGGGGTTTTCACAAAAGAAGGCAGCTCTGGATGAAGAGACACATTAACATTACCAAGTTTTGCAACAATTCTTGCTGTCCGGAATGGGTACACGCTTACTGTTTTAAGGCTATTTCCATGAGGTGTGTTTCTGAAAAAAATCCAGATCTCTGTATGAAGCTACCATGATTCCATCACTTAAAAAAATTACTTCATACAGGCAGACTTGGAAAAAAACCCCACAATCATGTTGCACCAAGCTTGCAAATCCTCTTTGTTGCATGTCCATTTCTTACAATCTGAGGTTATTGGCAGAAATTTAACAGTTCTTTAAATGAGTTTGTCTACTTGGACCATCCCAATCCTTGTGAGCTCTCCTTCTGCCCAGCTAACATTCTTTAATGCTGGTTAGAATGGAGTATGAGAATGAAGACATCTTCCTTCAGGCAAAACATAGGCTAAAACCTGTCCCAGCCTAGACAACCTCACTGGCCAGATGCACTTAGGTTAAGGCATGCCAGTCATGCCAATCTTCTTTATGAGAACCCGGCTGTGATACTTTTAAATTACACAAGGGAATAATTTGGATCCTGCTGTACTTTCAGCAAATGCACAGGAAAATCTTAATTGATACAGCATAGTAAAATGGCTGAATGTTTCTTTGATACAGTCCAATTCCAAATAAGTCTTTGGAAGGGAGTTCTGGCAATGTGAGCAAATGGATTGCAGCTGGTTCAAGCACTCCCATTTCCCAAATGGAAAATATTCTTCTGAAAAATGCTGCTGCTTGACCAGAAACTGATCAGAAGGTACCTCTGAGGACTCTCTCAACCAAAAATATTTACAGAGGGTTTCTGCACTAGCTATCAAAACTGTAGTTTAAAACCTCTCTTTAGAACAGTATATTCAAAAGAGGGAAATACTCTGGGAGTTTTCTCTACTTGGAAGAAGAGAAAGAAGAGTTGGTTTTTATACCCCACTTTTCTCTAACTTAAGGAGGCTCAGAGTGGTTTACAATCTTCCCTTCCTCTCCCCACAACAGGCACCTTGTGCGGTAGGTGGGGCTGAGAGTTCTGAGAGAACTGTGACTGGCCCAAGGTCACCCAGCAGGTTTCACACGCATTAGTGGGGAATCAAACCCAGTTTTCCAGATTAAAGTCTGCCATTCTTTTTTTTTGGTAAACAAATTTTATTTTCTCAGGAATACAACATATAAAACATTTCATTCTATCAATTGTCTACCCCATTCCCAGTTCCTCCCCTCCCTCCAATGGCTTCCCACAATGCTTCCACCCCTGCTCCAAATTACTTCATATCATCAACAATATCAGTTTTTCATCATTACAATCTAAAGATAACATCGTTTGACTTAATATTGATCTAAACATATTAAGTTTTGTTTCACATCCCAGTTCTTTTCCAGATAAATTTTAAAATCATTCCATTCTCCAAAAAACTCATCGTCTTCTTTGTTATTCAGTTTTTTTGTAATCTTATCCATTTGTGCCATGAACAGAACTTTTTGTATCCATTCTTCAACCTCTGGTACCTTTTCTGTCTTCCAAAACTGAGCATAAATCATTCTCGCTGTCACTATCAGGTACCAGAGTAAAGTTTTTTTAGTCGTATTGACTTCTTCCATTTTGAGTCCCAAAAGCAGAATTTCCGGTGCTTTTTTAAAAGAACATTTCAGTATTTTTTGCATTTCATTGTGGACTTTTGTCCAAAAGTCTACAGCTTTCTCACAAGTCCACCACATATGATAAAATGAGCCCTCATGCCTCTTACATTTCCAACATTTGTTTGACATATTTTGATTCATATTTGCAATCTTCTTAGGTGTCATGTACCACCTATACATCATCTTATAACAATTTTCTTTAACATTAGTACATGTCGAGATCTTAATAGAATTTTTCCACAAATATTCCCAGGTTTCCATAGCCACTTCCTTATTCATATTAATAGCCCATTTTAACATTTGTTCTTTAACAGTTTCATCTTCAGTATACCATTTTAACAACACCTTATACATTTTAGAAATATTTTTTCCTCCTCCACTCTCCCATACCTTTTCAATTTCATTTTTTTCCTCTCTAAAACCATAGTTTTTTTTGTCAGATCTAAAAAGATCATAAATCTGCATATATTTCAACCACTCATATTCATATTCAATTTCATTCTGCTTTTTCATTACCCACTCTGTTCCCTCTTTTTTAATTAAATCTCTATATGGCAACCAGTCTCTACCTCGCTGTCTTGAGTAAGATATCAACACTTCTACTGGTACAATCCACAATGGTCTTAAGTCACTCTGGTACTTCTTATATCTTGTCCATACCATATACAAAGCTTTTCTCACCAAGTGAAGTTTAAAAAAACTGTCCATTTTTATCTTGTCATACCATAAATATGCATGCCAGCCAAATCTACAATCATGCCCTTCCAACCCCAACAATCTGTCATTTTCAAGCTTCACCCATTGATCCATCCATGTTAGACAAACCGCTTCATAATATAGTCTAAGATTTGGCATTTGTAGACCTCCTCTTTCTTTGGCATCACAAAGTATTTTCATTTTGATCCTTGGTTTCTTGCCTGCCCAAACAAATTTTGACAACTCTTGTTGCCACTTGGCCAACAAATCCGTTTTATGCAGAATTGGTATTGTTTGGAACAGGAACATCAAACGTGGTAGGACATTCATTTTTATAACTGATATTCTTCCCATCAGTGATAAGTTCATTTTATCCCATTTCTTAAAATCTTGAGTCAGCTTAGTCCATAATTTCTCATAATTATTCTTATATAGGTCTATATTTTTTGCCGTTAATTCAATTCCAAGGTATTTTGTTTTTTTAACTACTTCACATTGTACCAGTTCTTGTAGTTCCACTTGTTTTTGTTTGATCATGTTTTTACATATAAGTTTTGTTTTATTCTTATTTACGTAAAAGCCGGCCAATTCTCCAAACTCCTTTATTTTTTGAAAAAGCAATGTCAATTTTTCTGTTGGGTTTTCCACCATAAACATTACATCGTCTGCAAATGCTCGATATTTGTATTGGTGTCCTTTATGTGTCAAGCCCTTTATTTCTTGATCGTACTGTATTTTTTGTAAAAGTATTTCCAATACCCAGATAAATAATAACGGTGATAACGGACAACCTTGCCTTGTTCCTTTCTGTACTTTGAAGTTATCTGTCAGTTCTTTATTCACATTTATTTTAGCTCTTTGTTCAGAATAGATAGCTTCAATACAATTTCTAAAATGTTGTCCCGCTTCAATCTTTTCCATCATCTGGTGCATAAAATTCCAATTAAGATTGTCAAAAGCTTTTTCTGCATCAACAAACAGAAAAGCTACTTCTTTTTCTGGGTGCTTTTCATAATATTCAATTGCGTCCATTACTATTCTTACATTGTCTCTAATCTGCCTTTTGGGTAAAAAGCCCGCTTGATCTTCAGAAATTACCGTTTGTAAATAGTTTTTCACCCTTTCTGCAATAATTTTTGCAAAGATTTTATAATCGTTGTTCAAAAGAGATATTGGCCTGTAGTTCTTTACATTTGTTGAATCTTGTCCTTCCTTTGGAATCAAAGAAATAATTGCTTCTTTCCATGAGTCCGGCACCTTTTTGTTTTCTCTTATTTCGTTGGTTAAAGCTTCCAGGACCGGGGAAATTTCTTCTTTCATCTTTTTGTAGAATTTCGCTGTAAATCCGTCCGGCCCAGGCGCCTTCCCCAACTTTGTCTCTTCTATTGCCTTCATCACTTCTTCTTTTTGAATTGGACCATTTAATAAATCTTTGTATTCCTTACTTATTTTTGGTAGTGGAATCTCCTTTAAATATGTTTTAATCTTCTCAAGATCAACTCTAGTTGTTTGGAATAGTTTAGCATAATACTTGAAGAAACATCTCTTTATTCCATTAGGATCAACGAACTCTTTTCCATCTTCTATTATTTTGGTTATCATTCTTCTCTCTCTTCTAGCCTTAAGTTGCCAAGCTAAGTATTTTCCCGGTTTGTTCGCCCCTTCAAAAGATTTCTGTTGTAACTTCTTTAAATTCCAATACATTTCCTGATTCCAAGTCTCATTCAGTTGTTCCTTCAGCAACTTTAATTCTTTAATAATTTGCTTTTTTCCAGGCTTCTTTTTTAATTCCTTTTCTTTCTGAGCAATTTTTTCTAACACTTCTGTTTGTTTTTGAAGTTTTTCCTTTTTTTGCTTCACGTTTTGCGAGATGAGAATTCCTCTCATCACCGCTTTATAAGCATCCCATACAATCTGTATCGGTGTTTCTTTATTTAAATTTTGTTGAAAGAATTGTTTCGTTTCTTCCTTTAACATCTCAATTACCGTTTTCTTATCCAACAAGTCTTCATTAATCCTCCACAGAAAGGGTTTTTTCCTTTCTGTGGAACTCCATACCACCGGATTGTGATCTGAATTACATCTTGGCAAAATTTCAGTCTTATGTGTTTTCATTGATAATTCTTCAGACATCCAAATCATATCAATTCTGGAAAAAGAGCAATGTCTATTGGAATAAAAAGTAAAGTCTTTCTGCATCGGGTTCCATTTCCTCCAAACATCTTCTAATTTTTCTTGCTTAACTAATTCAAAAAAATTCTTTGGCAATTTTCCGCTGAATTCGTTGTCCTTTTGTGGTTTTCTGTCTAGACGATCTATTGTCCCATTAAAGTCTCCGGCCATAATAACTTGCTCATAAGTCAATTGTTGTAATTGGTCAGTTATATCCTTAAAAAATTTTTCCTTTGCTCCATTGGGTGCGTACACGTTGATCAACAATGTTTTTTTCTGCTGAATCATTAATTCCACACCCACGTATCTGCCATCTATGTCCTTAAAAATTTCTGTAGGTTGTAACTCCTTCTTCACATATGTCACAACTCCTTTTTTCTTGTTTGAGGCCGCAGAACAAAATTCAATTCCAAATAAAGCATTCTTTAAATATTTTATATCCTGTTTTCTAATATGTGTTTCTTGCAAGCATATCACGTTGCATTTCTGTTTCTGTATCCAATGATTGATTCTTTTCCTCTTGTTTGGTGAATTTAATCCATTAACATTCCATGACAACAATTTGTACTCCATTATGCGTTTTATTTTAAAGTTCTCCAAAGACGTCCGCATTGTCCGCCTTAAATTTATAAAAGTCCATCATCGATCTGATCTGAATCCTCCCACCTTGATACGTAAAGGATAAACCTTGTGGAATCTCCCATCTATATCTGATGCTCAAAGCTCTGAGTTTGTCCGCCAAGGATTTATACCTTTTCCTGTCTTGCAGTATTGTTCTTGGGAGTTCTCTCATCACCATAATTTTGTTTCCCTCTATTACAAAAGGGACGTTGAATTGCTTCTTGAATATCTCCTCTGTTATTGATCTTGTTACAAATTGTACAATTACATCCCTTGGTAAATTCTTCTTTTCTGCAATTCTGGAGTTCACTCTATAAATCAAATCAAAGTCTGAGTCCATTGACCCTTCCTCCTCGCCCAGAAAAGCCGTTATCACTTCCATCATTTTTTCTTTTAAGTTCTCATTCTCTGTTTCCTTAATGCCTCTGAATCTCAGATGAGTCTGCATCCTTCTGAACTCCATCATTGTCTCTGATCTTGTAATTTGTTGAGTCAAAGAATCTTGTTTCTCTTCTATTTTTTGTATCTTCTCCTCTGTCTCTGTAGTCTTGGTTGCATTTGCTTGAACATCCTTCTTAACTCCTTCCATTTCTTGCTTGATTGAAGTTATTTCTGTAGTAACCAATTCCTTCAATGCTCTTCCTGGATGTTTCACACGGACCTCTTTCTTTGTGACACCAGCCTGCTCTTCCCACGCTATTGTTCGTGAGTTTCGATTTTACAGTTGCGCACACGGCTCCATCTTCACCACAGGAATGTTAAACAATAAGCGTTTTTACAGTTTTTAAAGGCTTCAATCAACTTTTTTCTCTCCGGAATCGGATTTCTGGGATTTACTATTCATTTTCCGCTCAACCGCTTAATTCAAATTGACTCCAAACTCAGTTCAGGTAAGCGGCACGTTTTTGTTATCTAGCACGTTCAAAACGGGTTTCGCATTGTTTCTTTTAACTCACAGTTGTTGTCCTTCTTCAAAGAGGTCGGCTGACGAAGAATTTATGCCGGTAATCCGGCTTGATCGGCCACTATAGAGTTGCTTGGCACTTGCCTTCTTCGTGGGAGGAGGTCAAAGCCCAATTCAGCTTCTTCCGAAGCTGGATTACGCCAACCTCACACTCCCTCTAGGGCGCTGCTGCCTGCTTGTCCCCCCCCCTCGCTGGGGAGTGATGCGTTGGGCTGTGTATTGCCCAAACTGTCAAAAGTGGCCGTCGCTCGCTTCGCACGATCGCGAAACGCTTCAGTCCTCCATCTTAGCCAGACCGGAAGCCCCTAAAGTCTGCCATTCTTAACCACTACACCAGGCTGGCTCTCCAGATGAGCATACACTGCAAGGTTTTGTACGAACTAATTTTCAATCTTTCATTTTTTTTTCCTGCAGGGAAAGAAACAAAAACAAACAAACAAACAAAAATCACTGCATACCATTGACAGTCAGCTTGGCCTTGTTGGAATAATTGGAACCAAAGTGGTTGGAGATGATACACTGGTATTGTCCTTCATCAGTGAAGTTCACATTGAAAACATGCAGGACAGTAGTGTACTCCAGAACTTCGCCCTCTTGTTGCTGGTACCGGGCGAAATTCTGTATCTCTGCATCATACAGAATTTCATTGTCCTTCCTCCAGGTGGTGGATATGGGTGAATCACTGCTGCTCACTGCCTTGCAAGTCAGGGTAACATTGGTGCCTCTAAGTGCAATGGTACTCTCAGGATGCACTCTGATCTGTGGTTTGGGAAAGTCATCTGTGAAAAAGAGATCAAGATTACAAGTGGCTCACTCCTTTAGCATGTGATGCAATACTGTCTGAGGCAAGTTGTAATGCTGCTCAGTTGAGTTCAACTTGTTCGCACTGCTAGTTCCTCAAACTGCTATCTCTGCTTTCACACCAGAACTGACTATGTGGGCACGAAGCTGTGAAGCAGGGTTGAATCAATGTTAGAACATAAACAACAGCAAAAAATATGTTCTAAGGGGATGATGGGACTTTGGCAGGGGTCCTTTTATCTCATCTCTGTGAAATATGCTAAAGAACAAATTCACTGGGGCACAACTGTGCAAAGTTCTCTACAGCTTGAAGCTTTAGCCCCAATTCAGACGAAGGGTAGATAATCCTACATAGCTTCTTCTTTCTTCCCAGTGGTTGGAAAACTTACTATATGAATAACAATCTTCAATAATTTGAAGATAAAACCCTCTTGATGCTGGAGTTGCTCAATTCTACCCACTTAAAGACATGTAATGTCCTCAAAAATTCTTAAGCTACCAGGAAATATCAAAGTAAACCTCTGCAGCAATTGCATGACTTAACTCAGTAGTTACAAATAAAAATGAAAGCACTACAAACTAGAGGCCGAGGCTACAGCTATACATGAATGAAGTTCACAGAGGGGGATTTACAGTAAGCTAGGGTTAGGTAACCTTTTTGGACTGAGTGCCAAAAGATCTGCAGATTCCGCCTGTGAAGACTGGGGTGGAAGAAAGGACTGAAGACCGAGAAACTTCAACAAAGTCTCTGGTTTAAAATCACTGAGGCCGCGCCAAACAGGACCATTCAAGGTTCTGCCTCATCCAAGATGAGGGCATTGTACAAGGAAAGTAATTTCCAACACATGTGGGCAAACAGCAAGACACTGGACAATTCAGTTTTTCAGACAGTGCTGGTTCTCCACACAAGAAACAGAGGGAACCCCTAAGGCAGCCCCACTGAGACTTAACTTGCTCCCAATGTGTCTGGACAATAAAACCCTCTTCTCTCCCCCTGCCCTTTTTTGTTTGCCAGAACACCAACCTCTGACACCTTCCCACTTATTACAGAGTGACTACTGTGGCCCCAATGAAAACAGTTTCCATGGTCCTAGTAAAATCCTTACCGGCAATGTCACTGTATTAACTTGAAAGGACATTCCAAGTTAATCCATGGAATCTTATTATATATGAATGGGCAGCATGAATATTTCTTACAGCAAAAAGAATGTACCCATGTGCTACACCACACTGCTAGGCATCATAAGACATAGAAGAAAAGTCCAATCAATTCAACATACAGCTAGCAAATCAATCGAATTCCACCACCCCTTTCAGACTTCTTCACATAATCATTTTCAAAATGGGGATCCATCACACTTTAAATGCCACTAAAAGCACAAACCACAAACTAAGTTTTCAGGGTCCACGTTGAGAATGTTCTGTCCAGCTAACCATGCTGGGTGAGCACAGGCCACACTGACCGCATCCTGGAAATGGTGCTGGGTCAGCCATGGGACCAGCCACTTCAGCTGGCAGTCACACAGTAAGCGGCTGGTGTTCAATACCCTGAGAACATAAAAGCAAAAGGAAAAGTAGTTGCCTGAACAGCGTATCCCATTCACAGTCACCAAAATCCCCACTCCTGTCACTGTAGAAATAATAGATGTAGCTTGAACAACCAACTGGTCCTTTAGATGGAGGCAGGGGGGACCTACCCTAGACTGCTAGAAATCACAACCAGATTTAACATAGTTTATAGTACCAATGAGAACCAGAGGTTTAGCAGCATTTTTGGGGACAAAAGCCTCAATTATAAAATCATTAATTATGTAAATATGCCAAAAAATGAAACTGAGGTACAAAATCTTTATACTGATTATTAGTATTTTTCGAGTTGAACATTTGAGACAAGTGAAATGTTTCATAGCATCTTGGACTCCACTAGTGGCCAGCTACTTTGCAACTTAGCAGAAAGATTGGGAAAGCACATGAGGCCCTTCCTACCCACATACCTCACCCAAATGCACTGAACACCAGACTGATCTTTGATTTATTGCTAGCCACTTTAAGTATTATCAAATAGAAATGAATAGTAAAAATATAAACAAACATTGGGACAATAATAAATAAGACTATGTACTTACAGCTGTTTAAGAAGAGGCTGGTCAAAGGCATGTTCTTGAATAGACATTATTGCATTGTTGTTCAAATCTCTGCAAGTTAAACAAGAGTTATGCATTCGTGAGAGTTCATTTGAGAATCAGGACATTTCTGTATTTTTTAAAAGAAAAACATTACTGATAGAGAAAAGGATGCAAGAAATACTTACAGATATTCAAGAGCCTGAAGACCAGCGAATGCTTTTTTTGTAATGGTCTTAATCTGGTTTCCTTGCAGAATCCTAAAACACAGTCCAAAGTAAGCCTTAACACTGAAACAAGTCACAAAAGTTCACAAGCAAAATAGGCAGCATGGTGAATAATTGTTCAAGTAGCTTTTCTAGGGGGACAAATCATCATGCTTCCCTTGGTCAAGTCTCCATCTTCCATCCCACTCTCTTTACATAAAAGGAGCATGGAGAAAGAGTAGTGCATGCACAACTACCAGTTAAAGACCAGAAAAGACAATATGTGAGGATACGACCAACACAGAAGCCCTTCTTCTTTAATCCCTTCTTATCACATCTGATTAAGGGACATTTCCCCTATAAACTGAGAGACAGAATCCTTTAGAGCAGTGTCTAAAAAAAGCAGTTAAACCATTCCTGACAGCCTTACTTCATTAGGTAAGAAAAAGTCTGATTTTGTACATTATTTAAAGAACAACTGTAAGAGATCCATTACCAAAATGTGCAAGTCTTAGCCTGAACATTGCTTGATGAAAGGATGATGTGAAACGTTATTAAAACTGCTTTCAATTCAGACTGTCACATCAATTTTCAAAGATCTTCCTATCAACACACATACACTGTGTGGACTTTATTTCTCTTCTAGTAGACATACCAATCCTATTGCTTGTAAGGCTTACAATTTATTGAGGCTGTCAAGTCCTACAAATGCTTCATTTGAGTCTTCTATGGCCCAGGAGATCTCATTATTTCGCAGATCTCTAAAACATAAAGCAAAAAATTACAATGAGCAGGCCTGAGAACTTAAAAAAAAAATTCAAAACCCTCCAGCACCATATAACTTCCTCCCCCTTTGCAGGATTTAACATTTTTATACGGCGTTTTGAAATTCAAAGTCTCACAGTTGCAAAATACATGTTCAGTGCAGAAACTCTGCTATTTTACCCAATTAGAAAGCTGAGTGCTACTTCATGGGTTCCAGCCAGCATATGAAACCTAACAAAAATTGTTTCCATATGACAGTGCTCCCCACAGGGATATAACCTTTAGGCACAGTCAGGATACGTTCTGGCCAAGTTACGTAGGAGGCTGTCAGGTGAAAGCAGTTTTGGTGTGTGTTCACACACGCTTTTAAAATATGAAGTGGACCTAAAGTACACACAGAAAGCTAGTGGAATTAAACTGGTCAAAGGAAGCTAGAGACATCCTAGGGAGCCTGAACCCACATAGCACTCTTTCCTTCTTGGCTACGTAGCACTGGTCAGTCTAGTGAACAAATGACAACATGGGACAGCCTCCTAAACTGACTTACGGAAGTGAGTTAATGTTGTTAGCACATTGCTTAATTTTCTTGAGTTGCAAGCCTGGAATAATGCCAGCATATTAAGAGATTATGTGTAGGTTGGGTGAAGAATTGCTGGGCATGAAAGAGTAGTTTTTCAGAGTGAAGTGTGGGTGGTTCTGCTCACAAATCCTGTTATGTGCTGATGGGATTTGTGTTTGACCTCTGCGTTACACTTCAGCCCCTAGTATACAAGAGAACAAAGCTGATAACTAAATTCAGCAAGGTCTTGATTCAGGAGGAGGAAGATACTTCATTAAGGTATAATAGATTTAGCAGTGCATTTCCTTTACACAACAGGTCATGAATTTATCAGAACAACAATTCTCGCTTGCTTTTTATAGCTGAGCGAGCACAGAAATTTAAAGCTTAGCCAGCATTTTATCACTAAGAGTGAGCATATAAAACAATCAATAGAACATTTTAAAATGCAGGAGAGTAGCACTTTGACACTATCCATAGGCAATAGATCTTACATCCCCAAAGTAAAGAACAACACACCACACTATTAAACAACAACTCCCATTTGTTGCATTAATGTTGTAAAAACAAATGTGAGTTTGGCTTAGAAAGAGCTGCGGTGCTAGAGGCATGAACAAATGACAACGTGGGACAATATGATCACACTAAGTACAGAGACATCAGTGGAGCTCAAAGCCTTGCCCAGTGGCTAGTTCATGAAAGGCTACAGATAGTTCAGTAAGTCCTCCATTGTTTAAAGGTTATGGCTTAATGTTCAAGCCCCACTGAACTACAGGGAAAAGTTAAGAGACTATGGCATCACTACGATGTAGTAGAAACCAAATCTCCCATGTCTATATTTGTACATATCATTTTAAAAGATTTACCTCTATGGCACGTCTCTGCCTGAAACTAGGCCCCTGAGGTAGCTTATGTTGCAGAGCCACAAAAATATAAAACATTCCATAAAATGACCACCTGTTTGGACTTTGAAAATATCATATCCCTGTATTATTTTGCACTAACAGAGTAAGGACCATTAACTCCAAAAACCTAAGGTAGAACCTTATTATATAGACCTCTAGAGATTGCTCTTTGTGCTTGGATGGATACGAATGCTTAAAAACATATTCCCTTTTACCCCAAAGTCTGGGAAACAATAAGCAATCCTAAACTAAGAAGCATGCCCCTGAACTACCCCACACCAGTTAAGATCCCAAAGGCCACTAATTTACTGTTCCTTTTTTTGTGGTACTTTATACTGAGAAGTTTAGCATTAAACAATTCATTAAAGGTTTACGCTGTTAACAACGGCTTACGTAGGTTTCTATGAAGACAATGACTATTGGGACATGTTCTAAATGAAACAGATTAAGTTTACAAATGCTAAGATAACTTAAAAAACAGGTCTGCAAAGAAAATAGAAGAATGCTACAATAACAGTTTGGTTCACTCCAAATTTTATAGACATGACCTTCCTGGGTCTCGCTTGAGTGTAATGTATAAAATTATTATTTGGAATTATTATTCAAATTTAACTTTTGCCTTTAAATCTGCTACTTCTCTTGTTCTCATTGATTACAGAAAACAAGCAGTTGTATGATTGCTTGTACTCATGTAATTTCAAGACTGTCATAATTTCTACCAGCCATCTCATCTTTGTAGAACACGCTCTTTTTTTCAAAGTGTCCAGCAATTTCAAACTCAAAAACTTTTCTCATTTCCATAATACTTCCGCAAGCCCCCAGCTTATCAAACTGCTGAAAGCCTGACCGGGGTATTAGGATTGTTGAGGCTACCGAATGTGTTCCTAACATAGTAAATGAAAGTTCACTATACACGTCATATTAATAGGTCATTTAGCCATCACTCTGTTTCCAACAAAGCCTTTGCTGTTTAGCCTTTCAAGTGCAGACTCAAAGCTACAACACAATATCCAATCCACTACACATAATGGAGTGACCTGAAACGGACTAGGCCAGGGGTCCCCAATGTGGTGCCTTGGGTTACGATGGGGCCCACTGACACCTTTTCCGGCACACACCAAGTGTTTCTAGAAAGTAGGTGGAGCTATGTGGGGCTCCTGCCCACCAGAGCTTCTGACTGGCCACCAGATATCTGACCAGCTGTGCAGAGCAAAACATCATTTCAGCTGCTACCAGTGTGTTGATTTTATTGTCTCTCACTCAGATTTCCCAATCTATTTTTTGAATTACCCCTCTTCTCCCCCACACTTTGGCTTCCCGTGTGTCCTCCACTTGCTCTGGCAGCCATTTTCTGGCTGTTTCCACCTACTGTGGCAAACATTTTGTAACTGTGTCTACCACCCTGTGTCAAAATTTGAAAGTTGCCCACAGGTGCAAAAAGATTGGGGATCCCTGGAATAGGCTGGAAGTAGAATTTACAATTGCCCCTGTTTTTCCAGTGTTACTATTTTCTTACAGATACAAAATGTACAAAGCTATGTCCTGCCTTGAGAACCACCTATTACAGGTCTCATGAGAGTAAGCTATTTCAGGCAAAGTATTGATGGTAAAGTTACAGAAAGGTGAACACAGAAATGCAGGTAATTGAGTTCCTGCTCAATGACAGCGCAGGCATTGACAAATTGACAACACAGACCTATGTATCACATAGCAATTTAAACTCCAATTGCTCTGATACTAAGAAAGAAAAAGTTGTATTTTCGTAACAGCCATACACTACTGTTTAAGTACTGGGGAACTCAAAAGATGACCTTCTCAATAGAAAAAGTGTTGATCTTGTACAAGAAAAAAACAACAACCGTGCATCTGAAGCTCTACAGAACTGGGTACTTGGAAAATAATAGTAATTTCTCAGAAAAACAGCCTGGCTACTTGTTACACAGAGCTAGTATCTCATGCTTGTACTATTTTAAATAAGTGGTGATGACAAGATAGAGGCCCTTTCTAACATCACAAGAATATGGCTGCTTTCTATTGAGAGACTGAATTAATAATTATACTAAGTTAAATTTTTCATTTTTCCCACTAAATTATGCGAACTTACAAAGTTTGCAGATTTGAAAGTCCCTTAAAGACACCATCTGCGATGTGACTGACTCTGTTGTCACTCAAGTTTAACCTCTCCAATAAATTTAGTCCGACGAAAGCAGATTCATCCAGGCGTGTCAGCTGGTTGTAAGAGAGATCTCTGAAATGAAACATATAAAATCCAGTGAGATCAGAATGTGGAAATGTGAGGGCACCAGAAAAATCAATTTCACCCTAAACGCAGAAAACAAAATGTATTTGAGATATTAAATGTGTAATATTCCCTAACTAGGATTCAGGAAAACCATTCTTGCCACTAATTTTACTTCATTATGAAAAAACCCAGTCATGTGGGGGGGGGGAGGAGAGAAGTCTAGCACTCACAGTTCAGAAAGCCTTTGGCAGAACTCCCATGCATCTGGACTTATCTTGTTAATGGCATTCTGGCTGACATAGAGCTGTTGTAATGTTCTCAAACCATACAGCCAACCCTTGTTTACTTCAGTCAGGTTATTGTGCTCCAGATCTCTGGAGAAAGAAAAGGAAATGTTTTATATGATGCTTCCAGTGAACACTACATTTTATAGCACCTTCTTGATGAGGAACACAAAGCAATTTTACAAATATGAAGACCTTTAACTGAAATGCGACATATCTCACAGATGACAGAAGAATAAAATAGGTAACTTGAAGAGCAACAGACTTGGGGAAGCTGACCTAATGAGGCATAAGCAAAAGTATTCAGCGATTCTGTTCATTCTATGCTTTAGAGAACCCAAATCTCCATTTGATGAAGTGTTAAACATAAATTACAGTCTCCAGCAAAACAAAAAGTGAAAATGGTCCAATATAATTAAGTCCTAGACACTTACGATCAAATTCCACCTCAGCCATTGTTAAAGCTATACATATCTTTCTGTACTGTTTCTGTAAATTGGAAATACTAGCAACCAACTTCACAACACAGTTTGGCGCATGAATAAGGAAAGGACAGTAAGGCGCCAGCATGGTAGTCTATTCTACTCTTTATGTATGTATTATCTAGCTCTTACTAGATTGTCTTCGACTTATGCTAGGCTTGCCAAGCCCCCACCGGGAGCGGGGGAACCCCCGCCGAAACAGCCCCCAATCCGCCGGCGGGGATAGGGCTGCCGGGGGGAACCCCACCCCCGAAACGGCCGAATCAGGCCCACGCCCCCAGCATGATGACGCCACCCGGAAGTGACGTCATCATGTCAGGGGCATCACCGGGTGACGCTCTAGCAGTCGTCCCAAAAACTCTATGGTTTCCCTTGCTCAAAAGCCAGTCGAATCTGACTCTGGGGGCAGTGCTCATCTCTGTTTCCAAGCCGAAGAGCCTGCGCTATCCGAAGAATTCTCTGTGGTCATGTGGCTGGCATGACTAAACGCCAAGTCGCATGGTACATTGCCACCTTCCCACCAAAATGGTACCTATTTATTATCTACTTGCAATTTCTTGCTTTCGAACTTCTAGGTTGGCAGGAGCTGGGGCCAGAGATGGGAGCTCACTCCACCATATGGCACTAGGATCTCAAACTGCCAAACTTTAGACCTTCTGGTCTGCAACTCAATGTCTTAACCTCAGAGCCACCACGACCCTAAGAAATGCTAGTACCAACAGCTAAAACAGTGACATTATATTCTAAGACAGGAACCAGTAGAAGGGGATCAACAGAGGTCTTTAGTTGTGTTCCGTTTCACTTGCATTTTATTGGTGGCTTCCTATATAATGTGAAGACAAGAGCTTCAATGAAGCTACAAGGAACCATAATTATCTCTCCTTATATATAATTTTCATTTGGGGTGGCAAGACTCGATGTGCGACAAAATCAGTCGGGTGCGTGATCTGCCACTCAGAACGGCTGCCAATCCCCTCGCTGCGTTGGGTGGCTGTGTGGCCTGAGTCCCACCCACACAGCAGCTGTCGTGCCCTCACTCTACACAGAGCTGCTGAAGACGATGGACCCTCCGCCGGCAGGACTCTTGGGGCGACGAGGCAGACCACGGTGCCGCCACACCAGTTGTCCGCGGCCGCGACATAAGGTAGGGAGCCAGCAGGGCTGTGAGTCGAGGATAGCGCTGGCTAGCCTCTCACCCTCGGTGTCCTGTCAGGCAACGGCCAGGCCCAACGATCTGCCAGCCACATGGTGACCAGGCTGAGGCTGACCATGCCACCCTCGCGCCGGTCAAAATCCCCTGCAAACGGCTGCAGCTGCCGGGGCGCGCTGCGAGCCACTGAGTGCTGGCGCGATTCACTGCAAGGCGCCTAAGGAGGACGTCCACACCGAGATCTTGCTAGCCCACCTCGCAGGCCCGCCTTTGCGCCCCCCGCCTTTGGAAGCCGCCTGGTGGGGGGCCTCTCCTTTGGAGCTGCGCCGCCCGCCGCCGCCTCCTCTTCAACCCCCCCCCAGCCTTCTGAGCACACTGTGGTGGCCGGCTGCCTGCCGTGGGGCCTTTCCTTCCAAGACGTGCCGCCAGCCCGTCTTCGCCCCCTTGCCTTCGGAAGCCACTGTGAGGGCTGGTTCGCGTGGGTCCTGTCCTTCCAAGGTGCGCCACCCGCCCCCGACACGTCTCGCCCCCCCAGCCTTTCAGATGGCTATCTGCCTCAACTTTCCTTTGGGTTGGGGGGAAGGCAGGGAGGCTTCTCATCGCTCTCCCTCCTGCCCCATCCGCCTCTCACTTTCGCCTGAGCCATGAAGGATCCGCTCCTGTCGGCAGTGCCCATCAACCCCAACAATTCCCCCACTAAGCTGTGGCGCCTGGTCCCCGCTGAAAAGGGCTTCTAATCAACCAGCCCCTCTTTGAGACTGAGCTCCTGGGGGCAGGTGGAGGAGGAGAAGGCAGTGATGCAGGGATGATGGCATCTCTGCTCCCTCCTCGCTGCCTGCCCCTGTGGCGCCGGCGCCCTCCTTGCTGGAGGAGGGGGAGGAGGAGGAAGCGTGCTCTGGCCATTGGGGCCAGACTCACCTCCTCCACCGGCAGGGCACAGAAAGGCGCCTTCACACAGAGAGACACACGCCGGACCCCTTTTATTACTCTTTAAGATGCTACTGCACTCTTGCTCTTTCCTACCATTTCAGTCAGAGAAAAGGTTTTCAGGCGAAACAGAAAGAGACTGCGGCCTTCAAGGGGGATGTACTAAAAGGAAGGACATGATTGCTCATTGGAAACGATGGGAGAGACTTGAAGGCCCATTGGAAATAATGGGAGCCAGGAATGACAACTTGGGCTCCATTGAAATACATTACAACTCAAGAAGAGTTGCAAAGAAAATGCGAAATAGATCTTCCATTAAGGTCTCTGATCCCAAATACAACCCCCCCCCATCCAGAAGATTCTAGTCAGGTGAGGTGGTGTGAAATATATTAGAGGCTTGAGGTCTTTCCTCACAGAACTACAATAGGCGACTATTAAACCAGTCGGAGACTGTAATGTAGATACACCCTGCTTAATGGGAAAATTTCATTCATCTTGAACGACACCAACTCCATTTCACTCAATGGTAGTTTAAGCTGCAGCACACAAGCAGTGCAATTACCCTGTTGAACAGAAACTATGTTCTAGAACCAATGGTCTCTATGCCATTCAAGATAATTCCTGACTCTAAGTAAACAGAGTGATCTGCTTTGAGTGATGGTCAATACTAATCCAACTGGACAGCCCTAATATGAGGGGACAAGCCATAGATTATTAAGCCAGATTCTATGAGCTTCTGCTTCAGTTTAATAGTTTAAAGGAATGGAATGTAAATTTATAAGGAGTCTGTGAAAGTGAGGAGGGAGAGAGAAATGCAGCAAGGTCTCTTGTGATGAACTAACTTACATGATAAGATTGCTTGAAATAAGCAGTTTTTGAAAAATCCTTGTAAAACCATAGAGTTTCCAGAGATTGCTAGAGAGGATTGACAACACCTGGGTTTTCTCAGAAATGACATAATGCCATTTGTCATTTTTTTAAAATCTCAGAACAGTGGCAGGAAATGAACGTTGGAGTGGGAGATTCCCTTCCCCCATTAGGGGGATGGTGAACCTAAATTCCGCACATGTCCTTACTAAGGCTGTGGTCACACACACTAAATAATCCACTTTCAATCCACTTACAATGCACTTTCCAACTGGTCACCAGTGCACTGAAAGTGGGTTGAAAGTGGAATATTTAATGTGCGTGACCACAGCCTCTGTCTTTGCAGCCTGAAGCACAGAAAAAGCACTCAGAATAGACAAGGCTGCTTCCCTCTAGGATTACCTAAGCCTCACTTTTTGCTAGGAGCCTGACTGGTTCATTTCCTTCACATTGACACTTTGTGACTATTCAGTCCTTGTCAGTCTTCTAAACCCAGACCTCACCCTAGTGGGGGGGGGGTGTTCTCTTACCAGATCCCAGGTAGCCACTTGCCCAAGGACTTCCTGTCCCTTGCTCCCAAACATTCCTGCAGTTCTCACATTCTGCCAACAGAGGGCAGAATACTTCTGGAGTTTTAGGCCCATTCTACATCTAGCATTTGCTCTGTTGTTTTACCAAACCCACAATAGAACAGAAAAAGATGTGACTCAAAACCACCTTCAAATACCCCAGAGCCAACGCCACACTCACTGCAGAGTCACCCCTGAACAGCCATAAACACTCAGTGCAGAGTCACCCCTGAACAGCCATAAAACAGGCATAAATCTATGCAGACAGTACCATAAAACTGAGAGATCAAAGGAAATGAAACTGGCATGCAGTGTGGAGGCTATAACAAAATCCAACAATCAAAGAAAGTGAAAGTGGCATGCAACATAGAAGGGAATTTCTGTTCCACCGTGAGTTTAGTAAAATAGCGAAGCTAATACTAGATGCTGAATGGACCTTAGTAGTCTTTAACTTTATCTTCACTATCACAACAGTCTTGAAAGGACTGTGAGAAAATGGCCCTGCAGTTCATTCAATAAAAAGGAAAATAATGTAATTGTTTCCTTCCTTTTGTGGCTGTTTATCAGGACGCAACTCCTCAAAAGCAAACTCAGTGCAGCAGTCAGGAGAACTGAACAATGGAGAAGAACTGGCTTATTTTCATCCCGAAGGAGACAGTGGCCAATTTCACATTACCTTTTTAAACTGCATAATTTCCATTATTGGCCCATCATGGAGTAAACCGGTACAGGGACGGCTGTTTCACACAGCATTTCCTTTCCATCTCTGAAGCGGTGTGTCATTTTAAACTGCACTACTTTCTTTTCCCGCTATTTCCCCTCGCACACACAATCTTTCTGAGACTTTTTTTTTTAAACGTTCTATTGGGAACGCTATAATGCTGAAGCAGGACCACAAATCAACACCATAGCAACCCCATTGAGATGCCTGGACTCCATTTAGATACACTGACATTTGCTACTGCTGTGACCTGTAAACAAGGAACTCACTGGATACAGAGTTCAAGCACCGGGGGTGGGGGGGAGTTTTGAAACCCAGGACGCTTTCCTTCCTTCCTTAACTCCCACAAACCGTGGAGTGTGTGTGCTTGTGTGTGTGCCTGAGTCTACTTTTCCTCTAAACCAAACTTCTTAAAAATTGACCAAACATCTGTCTCACAACTCACTAATGCCCCTGATCTCCTGCTTAAACATGCTGTCCAATCAGGTACTTGATTCCAGGTGACAGCAGTAGTGAATGTTAATGTATCCAATTTGCCCTATCTGGGCAAAATAATAGAGAGGGCCATGGCAATCCAGCTACAGAGCTTCTTGGATGATGCTTCCATCCTAGATCCCTTCCAGTCCGGTTTTCACCCAGGCCATGGGATGAAGACATCCCTCATGGATGATCTCTGGAGGCATCTGGATTGAGGTGGTTCAGCGGTGCTGTTGTTGTTAGACCTGTTGGCTGTGTTAGAC